GTCAAACTATTAAACGATAAGAACAGCGTTGATGCAGCCATCGTTTTCAGGGTTGTTCGTCACCTGAGCATACTTTCCCCAAACAACCTTTCCGGATTGTGTCACCAGACCAAGTTCAGAGATGTTAACTTCAATCACAGTACCTTTTGTTATAACGCCTAAACTGGTGTACATTGGACTGGAAGGGTTCTTCTTGACTCCGATTATTGGCAGGTGGAAGGTGGCTTTCAGTTCAGGATGAGTGACGTGAGCAGTCTTGAAGCGGAGAGCCATCGGGCGGATGAACCGCTCGAATTTAGGTGGTTTACGAGTAAAGGCGTCTCCGACGTAGCAAACTTTGGTGACCATTCTCTTCCAAGACTTTTTCTTGCGCTTGCCAGTTTCTATTGTTCTGTAAAATGCAGACAAGTTAAAAATTTAATGTAAAAAACTTCCAAACCTCCACTTACTTAAAAACTTCCATATCTGAGACAGCTTTAACTTTTGGAATCGGGACTTCCCACTTTCCGGCTTTTTCCTTTCTTTTCTGCTTAATCATGTTTGAAAGAACCTTTGCGCGAGATTGATTCTCACGTTCCAGGAGATAGTGCGGCACTGCGCCTCCATCACCAACCGGTGTGTCTTGCTTTTTGGACTTTTTCTCCTCATGAGCCTTGAGGGTCTTTTTCATCTGCACCTTCTCGGTGAACCGTTGACGGTTGTAGATTTTCGCCTTGATGCCTCGCAGTTTCTTGGCCTTATCGGCCGCTTCGTGCACCTTTCGGGCCTCCTTCTTTCGCTTACGTTCCTCATAATCGAGGCGACGACCGAAACGCTTCTGATGAAGCTCAATGTGCTCGTTCTGTGGCATGGCTGCTTGTTGGAGTCGCTTTTGGGCTGATGAATGTCAGTTCACGGCACAAAAGTAGAATAAAATCCGATAATTTGGGATGTTTGGAATCAGCGGCGATGTGCACCGGCTGAAGCCAAAACAGAAAAGAGAGAGAAAAGTGCAAAACACGTTGCTCGACTGGTCCTTCGCAGAGGACGTTTTTTAGATTTTTTGAATTTTCCGCTTGCGCCCTGAGATGTCGCCCATGTGTTTGTTATTGTCGGCAAAATGTTGTTTCTGCTTTCCTCTTAACCTAAAAATATGCCGATTTGTCTGCGATTGCATTGAGCCGTGACGCCAGCTGACGAGTAGTTTTGCTCGACTTGCAAAGCTCTCCGGATTTCACTGGAGCTATTTACCCGGATAGTACTTCAACTTGGAGATGTGTTGTGCTTCGACCATCTTTTAGTCACTTGGAAATTACCTAATTCAAACCTCTAATTCAACAGGTTTCACAGCTGTGCTTCCACACTTTGTAACATCTTTGTGTTGGTGATATTTTTTAAACATTCCATGTCAAAATGCATGTAAACATTCTATCTCTTATGTTTATTAAAAACTTGATGACAAAAACGCCGTTATTATTCGGCCAAATATAATCTTCACATTGTGCAACTTCTTATCACTGTTAAAACTTTTAAACAAGATTGCCTTATTGTATTTGTGAGCTTACTCTCCAATTTATTACAGTTAAAACTCTTCCAAGGTAAGCAATGTAACTGTAAACAACAGTGATTGTTTTGCCATTTATATTTTTTTCCCTAGTATTAAAAATCTTTCAGNGTTAAAACTCTTCCAAGGTAAGCAATGTAACTGTAAACAACAGTGATTGTTTTGCCATTTATATTTTTTTCACTAGTATTAAAAATCTTTCAGCAAAAGTCAAGATTTGTCAGATATTTTGCATTTAATATTGAAATATTTCAGACTGACATTTTCCATAACAATAAAACAAATTGAAATTCTGCAACAATATATGCGCATCGTGTTATCAAATATTATAACAAAAACATGCAAAAAGGTTTTTTGAAGCCAAAGTAGATTAGAAATTGAAAGGAAACTGTTTGAAACAAAAGCTTAAAGTGTAAGGAAATGTCAAAGTTAAGAGGATTATAGCAGCGAGCAGCAAAGGAAAGGAAGGTGAAATGGACAGGTGAAGAAAGGTGCAAGCAAGGTAAAGCGGAGGCAGTGCAGGTGGTACAGCGAGTGTACAGTGGAACACAGTAGCTGGATTGGTGAATTAATTTATTGTTTCAGTTGCGCTTGACAATCAATCTTTGCGCTGTTTTAGCAGCGCTCACTTCATATTTTCTGCTCCACTAGTCACACTTGGCTTTCAACTAAAACACTAAAACCCCCAAAAAGGGTGAAAAGATGCTCTCGTTCTCTCTTTGCGTGTACCACGTACCGAAGCATCCATGTTAGCCACTGTATTCTGCCTAATTAACACTCTTCATGATCCATCGCTTTTGTTATATTTTTTGTTGCTTCATCACTTTTCCCTTTCCTACTCCTTTTTATCCACTTCTTGTCTGCTGACAACAGCAATTTTTCTCTATCTTGCATTTTAATTGCACTTCGCTTTACGACCATTCACCAAACCGGGGCACTGCTGATGATTGAGTCGCCGATTTTTAGAATGTAAAAGCGAGAGCGATAGCAGTAGCCTGGAGAATCACATTTTTCACTTTGCAAACAAATTGCTCTCATCAAACAAACTGTGCTTCACTCGAATAGATAGCACTGCCCAGTGTTCAGTGAAATGTCATCCATTTAGTGCTGCACAGTGCACAATTTCACTAAATCATCTTCACTTCTAAATGACCTTGTCATTCAATTTGGTCTCCTCTTCACTTTTCGCTTCTCCCAATAGCCCGATTTTCAATCCTCCTACCCTTGTCTCCTAACTTTTCTCATCGTTTTGCCATCAATATTCTTCTTCAAAAGTTTATCTAAGTCTTTGTCATTTTCTCGCATTAATTAAGTGCCACTTGCCGAGAGTAAGGCGGACTAAGCTTTTGAAGATAAATGACAAAAACGAACAATGAAAGTGAAGTTTTTAGTTTTAAAATTAAGATGAAATTGAGTTTTAAGTTAAAAGTTTTTTTTACAAAATGTTTAAAAATAATAGCTGTCAGTTTAATGATATTTTTTCTAAAGACCTTACACTCAAAATGTAAAAATTTTAAGTAGCGTAATTTAAAACTGATATTTTCGCCTCTGTTTGTCACTAATTTTTCTGCCTGAAACCAAGTCAATTTATGTGTTTCCAATTTGTCTCTGTCTTTGCAAAGGTCATTCTACAAAGCAGTTTACTATAACTTATTGTTTTTATTTTCACTAAATTATTGACAAGGAAATAAATTATCACAAAGAAGTGGTGATCTAATCTAGCGATTCACTTGAGTCGCTAATTTTGGTTTCACTGAAAAAATAATGGAAAAAAACTGCTGGGGTTAGCGAGGAAAAACAGGACAGAATTGCCATTAAATTGAGAAGTTTTTTTCTGTAATTAGAATTAAGACAAGTGAAAGATATATCACGATTTAAGCAAAAATTCTTTTTAGTTCTCCTAGTCTTCAATTAAATCTCTTCTTTCATCTGGCTTGCTAATAATACGGCTATTCAAAGTAATGTTTTTACTAGAAAGGACAGTTGAAGATCACAATTAATTGTAAATTATCGAAAAAATAAAAAGGAAGCTTGAAAATAGTTTTCGATTCACGTAATTTGTTTGTAGGTCAGCAATTGTTTTTGTGCCCTGATTAATGATGTTTAAATTATAAATATTTCAAATTTTTTTAAGTTTTTCATTTTTACTTTGACAAATGAAATATTATTCTAGTTAACTTCAACCGCATTCAAGTTTATTGTTTATAAGCATGTACAATACTGACAATCTTATTAAATTAGTGGTGTAGGGCGGGCACGTGGTCCCACAGTGGTCATTTATTCAGATGTTGCATGTTTTATTAGATGTAAAAAAGATCATGATAAATAGTGAAAACACAAGACTTGTTA